GACGCTGTTGTGTCACATTTTATCCAAGTTTTATGTCACATCTTATCGGGATGTGGGATGGCTTTTGGTAATTTATTGAAGAGTTCCATGGAGCTCGCTGGGCATGGTGGCATGTCTGTGATCTGAGGGCTCTGGACATGCTGGCCCAGCATTGAAAGGCATCTCATGTTTGAGTTTTTGTGGCATGCCACCACCATTTCCTGTCCTGCCAGCGAGCAGGACATTTGGTATGCACATGACTTTGTATTGTTTCCCTAAATCTGAATTGTACTATATAGTAAAATCTGGACTAGACTATATAGTGTTTTGTAACCTTTTTGTTATTTAAGTATTTGAATATTCTAAACATGACTTAAATTTTACACAATATTCCATACCACTGAAGATAATGTTGGTTATTCTCATTCAGGGCCTGTCCATTTTTAACCATCATAAATACTGTTACAGTGAACATTCTTTAGTTTGTTTTGGCAGTACTGGGGTCTGAACTTACGCTTGCTAGGCAGCTACTCTACCAAGTGAGCCATTATACATCAGACTTGGTGATCATCTGTAATTATTGCTGAACAATTAATTTGCTTAGCAGTGGAATTGCTGAGTCACTGACCTGGGTCTTTTTCAAAGGGTTGGAGTAATTTTTTGAATTGACCTTTGGAAAAAATTGCATCACATTTAGACTCAAAGTAGTAACTGATATTTCCAGTAAACACTCATCCATACTGGCTTTTTTTTTACCTTTTTCCTATCTTTACCAAAGCAATGATATTTATCTTTAAAAAATATGTATATATTTAATATCCTTAATTGGGCAAAATCGGTGAGGGTGGGGGCGGGGGGTGGGAGTGGGGTGTGTGTGTGTGTGTGTGTGTGTGTGTGTGTGTGTGTGTGTGATGGTCGTGGGGCTTGAACTCAGGACCTAAGCACTGTCCCTGAATATTTTTGCACAAAGCTAGTGCTCTACCACTTGAGGCACAGCTCCACTTCCAGCTTTTTGGTAATTAATTGGAGACAAGAGTTTTATGGACTTTCCCATCTGGGCTGGCTTTACTCCCAATCCTTCTATCTCAACCTCCTGATTACAGCAGTGTACCACTACACCTGGTTGAGAATCAGTCTGTCTTTCTACTTTGAGGCAAAGACCAGGATCATATTTTGCTTATGACTCCTATCTTGAATACTTTTCTCTTGAGGATCTATCAGAAAATAAAGTGGAGGAAGAGTGAACAAATGCAGTCATTATATTCAGTGTACATTATGTAAAAATTGAACTATATAAATTGAGAGTAGAAGTGGGAGGCAGAAAAAGGAGAGAGAATGATAAAGGGGTGACATAGATCATACTTATAACCTGACTTATGGAATTGTAACCTCTCGGGATTTAATAAATTTTTTAAAAACTTTTAAGAAAAGAAAATGGGTCATAGAACATTTTCCTAGAATTGTAAGTTGAAGTGTTAGGATATACATACTTCATGATCAGCTCTGTTTAGAACAAAACCATTTTAATCTAGTAGATTTTGTGTGTGTGTATGCCATTCCTGGGCTTGAAGTTAAGAGCTTGGTTCTGTTCTTGAGGTTTTTTTTTTTTGCCCAAGATTGGCACTGTATCACTTGAGCTATAGTTCTCCTTCTGGCTTCTTAGTGGTTAATTGGAGAAAAGAATGTCTAAGGCTGGGAATGTGGCTTAGTGATTGCTTGCCTAGCATGCATGAAGCCCTGAGTTCGATTCTCTTTTTTTTAATATGTTTTTTATTGTGAAAATACTGTACAGATGGGTTAAGTTACATGAGCAAGGTAATGAGTATATTTCTTATCAAGCATTATTGCCTCCTCCTTTGTTTTTCCCCTACCATCCCTTCCCTCCCACCTCCACAACTACACTCTACACTCCCCGCCCCCCCCCCCCACCTACATTGTAAAGTTCATTGTTCAACAGGGTCAACCTGTATCCCTATTTAAACATTTTGTTTTTTCCCTTCCCCTCCCCAAATTATACCAACATCAAATACAGTGAAAACTGTATTTGGGTGGGTTCGATTCCTTAGTACCACATACACACAAAAAAAGCAGGAAGTAGTGCTGTGGCTCAAGTGGTAGAGTGCTAGCCTTGAGCAAAGAGAAGCTCAGAGACAGTGCTCAGGCTCTGAGTTCAAGCCCCAGGACTGGCAAAAAAGAAGAAAGGAGGAAGAAGAGGAAGAAGAATATCATAGACTTTCCTACCTGGGATTGGCTTTGAACCTTGATCCTCAGATCTCAGCTTCCTGAGTAGCTAGGATTGTAGGCATGAGCTACTAGCATGTAGCTAATGTTTTGTTTTTAAGATAACAAAGGTAATAAAAAGTAATCAGAGTTTTGTTTTTTTATGTCGGTTGTAGGGCATAAATTTGTTGCCTGGCACTATCCCTGAGCTCTTTTGCTCAAGGCTAGCACTCTTATCAGAGCTCTGCTTTTGGTTTTCTGGTGGTTAATTGGAGATAAGAGCCTCACAGATTTTCTTTCCCTGGCTGGCTTTAAACAGTTATCCTCAGATCTCAAGCTCCTTAGTAGCTATGACTACAAGGTATGAGTCACCAGGGCCTAGAGAAGAGTTTTAAGTATAAAGAATTTCAGACTTGGGGCTGGGAAGGTGGCTCAGTGGTAGAGTGCTTGCCTTGCATGCCTGAGGACCTGCGTTTGATTACTCAGCACCACATAAGCAAAAAGAAAAAAGCCAGAAGTGGCGCTGTGGCTCAAGTGGTAGAGCGCTAGCCTTGAGCTGAAGAGCTGAGGGACAGCGCCCAGGCCCAGAGTTCAGGCCCCACGACCGGACCCCCCCCCCCCCCCAAAAAAAAAAAAAAAGAATTTCAGACTTTACAGAAAGACATAAAATGAAAAGTTATTTTTCACATACAACCAGTTCTATTGAAAAGAATAATACTGTTAATATTTGTCTGTTATTCTTATTAACATATATGCAAATATGTATATCTTCCCACCCTTGTCCCTCCCCTCCTCCAAAGGACTTCGCTCCCTACATTCTGTGCTCCTATTGCTCCTTTTGGTTTAACTTTGCTCTTGGGGACTTTTTCACAATAACATAGGCCTCTCTTGTTTTGTTTTGGGTCTGGTCGTGGGGCCTGAACTCAGCCTGGGCGCTGTCCCTCAGCTCTTCAGCTCAAGGCTAGTGCTCTACCACTTGAGCCACAGCGCCACTTCCAGCTTTTTTCTTTTTTCTTATGTGGTGCTGAGGAATTGAGCCCAGGGCCTCTGGCATGCAAGGCAAGCGCTTTACCACTGAGCCACCTTACCAGCCCCCTCTCTTGTTTTTAAATAGCTGCAAGGAATTTGTACTAGGGGCAATTAGACAATCTCCTGTTGACCGTGTGTACTAATGTAAATACTAGTTTAACAAATATGTTGACATAAGGACACAATTTACACATTTATGGCTGTAGGATAAGTTTTTATTGGATATGTATGTGCATATCCAATGTACACCTGAAGCTTTGATGGTATTAAATGACCCTTCAGAAGGTACCTCCTCCAGTATACAGGATGTTCAGTTTCCCAAATCCATTCCCACACCACATTAGCAATGAGTGAATAGGTAAAACTGGTACCTTAAAGTACATTCTTTAGCTGGAAATCTGAGCACTTTTTTGTATAACTGGTTATAATTTGTATTTTGGTTTCTACATGTTGATTATCTTGTTTTTCTTACTGATATTTTTTAAACTGTCACTCTATCCAGGTGTTGGGGGCTCATGCCTGTAATCCTTGCTACTCAGGAGGCTGAGATCTGAGGATCACAGTTCATAGCCAGACTGGGCAGGACCAACACATACACACACACACACACACACACACACACACACACACACACACACACACACACACACACACACGTCAGCAATTTTATTGATTAGTAATCATTAGCACAAGGAGAATTAACCTTTTGTCTATCATCTTTATCAAACGCTGTATCGTTTTTATTTTATTTTATTTATTTATTTTTGTCAGTCGTGGGGCCTGAGGTCAGGGCCTGGGTCTGTCCCTCAGCTCTTCGGCTCAAGGCTAGTTAGTGCTCTACCACCTGAGCCACAGCGCCACTTCCTGTTTTTTCTGCTCATGTGGTGCTGAGGAATTGAACCCAGGGCCTCATGTATGCAAGGCAGGCACTCTACCACTGAGCCACCTTTCCAGCCCCTTATTTTATTTTTGTGCCGGTGCTAAAGCTTGAACTCAAAGCCTAGGCACTGTTCCTGGGCTTTTTTTGTTAAGGCTAGGGCTCTACTATTTGAACCATAGCTGGTTCTATACTGGTTAATAGGAAACAAAAGAGATTCATGGACACTTTCCTGCCCAAGCTAGCCTCCATTGTAGATCCTCAGGTCTCAGCCTCCTGTGAAGGCTAGGATTAACAGGAAGGAGCCCCTGGCATCTGACTGTTTTTATCTTTTTGTTTGTTTGTTTGTTATAAAGATGATTTACAGAGGGGTTACATAAGTCAGATAAAGAGTTCATTTATTTTTGGACAATGTCACCCCTTCCCTTGCTCTGTTTTTGCCTTCCATAAGTTGTACAGTTCATTTTCCACATAGTGTCTAGTGCATTTGTTCACCCTTTGTCCTTCCATTTGTGTGGCCCCCGGTGCCCTCTCAGAGACAGAGAAATGAACCGACAAGAGGAAGAAAACATAAACGGCCCCAAAGGAAAAACCTCTAGTGTCCCTTTCCGGGAGTTCATTTCAGTAAATATTCTTTTGCACGATCAGATGCACGCACACAGGCAGTGCGCCTTCGTGTGTGAATGCGTACAGCCCCTGCTTTCATTCTTCAGCTTTTGATTACATGACCTTTTTCGCGGCAGGGAGCTTACACTTCTGTATATTTAGACATCAGTTCTTCCCTTGGTAGCTTCTCAGACTCTAGTCTACCACTTACGTGCTCCAGCCTCTCCTCCTGGACTCGGGCTGCCACAAAGGCAGTTGATTCCCCGCCCGCCTCGCCCGTCTCACTCACCGGCCGCAGCACTCTGTGCACCTCTCGGAGAATCTGCTCGGGGTTGCGCACGGAGCACAGCACCAGGGTGCAGACCACCACGTCCACCGAGCCGTCGGCCACCTCCCGCATGTCCTCCCCGGCCGCCACCACGAAGCGCTCGAATTGCAGGTGGCGGCTCTCCACAAGGCTCTTGAACAAGAACCGCTCGAAGTTGGGGTTGGGGTCGATGCAGGTCACCCTGCACCCGGGCGGGTAGAACTTGAAGTTGGTTCCCGTGCCGCAGCCCAGCTCCAGCAGGGACAGCTTCCCCGAGGGCCCCGCAAACTCCTGCAGGTGGCCGAACAGCTCCTGCTTCCGGCTGGCCATCTGCGTGTTGTACATCACCGAGAACCGCGACAAGAAGTAGGGAAACCATCTTTTGCATATCCAGCTCCACAAGCCCAGAAAGTGCAGGAAGTACATGGGGAAGGCCACGATGTAGACGACCAGCTGAAGGATGAAGATGGCGAGCGCCATGGCTCAGGACACGAGCAACACCGCAAACTTACACAAGTCTCCGAGCAACAACTGCAGACCCGACTCTGAATTAATTACCCAGGCGGGCGTCGGGCCACTCCCCCGACAGAGCCACTGGCCGGGCCGGAGCCCCGGAGAACCAATCAGCTCGCCGCGCTGGGAAGACTCCAACTAATCAGCCTCGCGCAGGATCGCAGACTCCCCCTGAAGTTTTCACCAGGCGCAGTGGATGAGTCCCAGCTTTTCCTTAAAAGGGAAATGAAGTACAATCCTTTATTCCAGATCTCTTCCTGTTTCCCCTTCTCAGAGTTGGGATGGTCCACCCTGGCTGCTTCTCTGCTGGAAGTCTCCTTTGGTGCCGTGGAGTTTCACCCCACCCCACTGTGTCCTCTTCTCGTCCTTTACGAACTGAAGAGTGTGGGTGGAGCCCGTTTAAAGCACGACAGAAAAGCAAGCTGCCTGCCCGCGCTCCTTCGTCTGAACTGCCCTCCAAAGGGCCTCTTCACTTTCTGGACACCATTACTCCAAGCCCCCAGCGCGTGTTGGTTGGTTGGTTTTTTGCTGAGGAAGTATTAATAAGTCTGCCTGGTCACAGTCAACCAGAATTCCCAGTTCCACAATCTAGGTTGAGCTTTCAGATGTTAATAATTCAAAAGCAGGACTATGGTTTTGAGCCTCCCCTCTTTCAAAGACTGGGTCCTAGTTTTTAAACTGTGCTTGAGGGGCTGGGAAGGTGGCTCAGTGGTAGAGCGCTTGCCTTCCATGCCTGAGGCCCTGGGTTCGATTCCTCAGCACCACATAAGCAAAAAGAAAAAAGCCGGAAGTGGCACTGTGGCTCAAGTGGTAGAGTGCTAGCCTTGAGCTGAAGAGCTGAGGGACAGTGACCAGGCCCAGAGTTCAGGCCCCATGAGCGGACCCAAAAAAATAAATAAAAATAAACTGTGCTTGAAAACACTGGCAGTTCATGACACGGAGAGTGTAGACAAGTAAAATGACACCCCAGAAAGGAACCTCAGTGCTCAGGAAGAACATCTGCCCAGCAAGGGAGACCTTGAGTCTAGTCCAGGCTGGCCTGAAACCATAATCCTAAGGATCTAACCCTACTGGATAGCTAGAATAACAGGTATGCACCACTGTGCATGGCCTAATAATAGGATTTTTATATATGACCCTAATTATGTCGAGGTAATTCTAATCATGAAACTGTTGAATAAAATGGTTATGTGATTTGTAGTCTTCTGTAAATAATGGTGCATAATGTTATTGATGTTGATTTATTGAGTTATCCTTGGTTCCCTGGATAAATGCCACTTGGTCATGGAGTGTGATCTTTTCAGTGTGATGTTGGATTTGGTATGCTACTATTTGGTTGAGGAGTTTTACATCTTTTTTTGTTTGTTTGTTTGTTTGGTTGGTTAGTTTTTGGTCAGTCATGGGGCGTCGTGAATTCTGGGAGTGCTGACCATGAGCTCTTCAGCTCACGGCAAGTGCTCTAACACTTGAGCCACAGGACCACTATCGGTTTTCTGGTGGTTTTATTGGAGATAAGAGTCTTATGGACCTTCCTGCCTTGGGCTGGCTTTGAACCGAGATTCTCAGATCTCAGCCTCCTGAGTAGCTAGGATTACAAGAGTGAGCCACTGGTGCTGGACCTTGCATATATTTTTATTGACTTGTAGTTTTCTCATAGTGGACTTCTGACTTTAGTATTAGGGTAAGATCTAATACCAAATGCTGACCTGAGAAATGGTTTCTTCGGGGGGAGAAGGATTGTCTTTCTTGTGTGTATGTGCATGCACTGGTCCTGGGGCTTAACTTCAGGCCGTAGTGTTATATGGGAATTCAATCAGTGAGATATAGAGAAGCCAAATTTTACCAGGTCAAATCAGGAGTCTTTTTTTTTTGGGGGGGGGGTCTAGTGGTGGGGCCTGAACTCTGGGCCTGGGCACTGTCCCTCAGCTCTTCAGCTCAAGGCTAGCGCTCTACCACTTGAGCCACAGCGCCACTTCTGGCTTTTTTCTGTTTGCTTATGTGGTGCTGAGGAATCGAACCCAGGGCCTCAGGCATGCAACGCAAGCGCTCTACCACTGAGCCACCTTCCCAGTCTCAAATCAGGAGTCTTTAATAGAAAGCTAATGAGTGCAGGCAGACTAGTGTCCCAAAAAACCTACAGTGCCAAATGTTAGCATAAAGCCTTTATAGGCAAAAGCCATAAAGCCTTTATAGGCAAAAGCCATATCAAGGCAGATTCTCCCATGGTATAGAGACTAGCAAAGCATGTTTACAGAAGCAAAACAAGCTAGTTATAGGTTAACTAAGGAGGGCAGTTAGAGTTTGCTAGAGGTTACTGGGGAGACAATCTGGTAAAGCAGACTCCAGGAGCCTTCCTGGAGTCTAAGAACCCATGACATATCTGCAGATCTTGGAACGATCTATGCCCTATCTATAGTTCTCAGAATTGAGTGAAATATCCCTGTTACCTATTAAGATGTTAAGATAGCAGTGGAGACAAGATGGCATTGCTTAGGCCCAGCATCCACCTATGTCGTTCCCCACTGATTTTATGTACCTGGCATCAAATAATTGATTCTTCAGGGAAGAGGGCTTTACTGGGCCCTTATGATCATGAGCTTTACCAAGCTGATATGATTTTGAACAAAGTTTATAAAACAATTGAGAAGGCATGGGCCTACAGTGAGACCCAGAAGAAGTAAAATTAAGGGCTCCATGGCTGCAGAACTGAGGACCAACTAAACAATTTTTTTTTTTTTTTGTCCAGTCGTGGGGCCTGAACTCTGGGCCTGGGCGCTGTTCCTCAGCACTTCAGCTCAAGGCTAGCACTCTACCACTTGAGCCACAGCACCACTTCCGGCTTTTTTCTTTTTGCTTATGTGGTGCTGAGGAATCAAACCCAGGGCCTCAGGCATGCAAGGCAAGCGCTCTACCACTGAGCCACCTTCCCAGCCCCCAACTAAACAATTTTTAGAACCAATTCTGGAAAATTTCCAACCTCTGCCCCCTCATTTCTGTTTTGTCTCACTATAGAAATGCTCTCCTGGGGCTTACTAGTAAAGTGCTTGTCCAGCGCCCTGCGTTCCATTCCTCAGTACCACATAAAAAAAGCCAGAAGTGGCGCTGTGGCTGAAGTGGTAGAGTGCTGGTGTTGAGTAGAAGAACCTCAGGGACAATGCCCAGGCCCTGAATTCAACTCCAGGACTAGCAAAAAAAAAAACCAAAAGGCCAGATCAAGATCAGCCGATGGGCCTATAAGCCATTTTGGGGGCCGGTGGGTGTATGCACATTCTTGCATAGCAAACAGGGTGTCATGGTCCCTTCCTGTTAGATATAGTCTAATTCCCCAGGTCTGCCCAGTCTGCCAAGAAGAATCCTGGGTATTTCTTGGCCTAAATTGTAAAGGGTTGCATTTTCCTGCCTGGCATGATGAAGGGTAGGTAAGATGCCAGACTTGAAGGTAGAGGTCTCCTTGTACCCATGTATGCTGGAGATGGTGTCACAACCCCACAGGGACAAAAGAACTCTCCTGAATTTGTACATTAAATATTAAGCTTTCCTGGCCCTGGACAGATGTAATGTCTGTAGGCTTTTGTCCACTGACTCAGAGCCATAGGCCACTACCTGCACCCTCTCCCCTTCCCCCATGGGAATGGTTAGGCTTCTGTCTAAGAGGAATTATTTCTTCAAAAAGGTCACAGAGGTCAAGTTGGAACTCAACCCCTTGCCATAAGCCTGTAATGGTGAGGTTAGGGACAGGCTGTGGCACTGTCTCCAGGACCTGTTTAGGCACCTCCTGCTGAGTTGCCTTAAGGAAGCATTGTTTAGTCAGTGTTTCAGAGAGGATCCCGGGGAGTAAGGGAGGGGGGCTTCCAAACATTATTTCAAATGGGGTAAACCTTACCCTGTAGGGAGTACATGCAGTTTTTTTTTTTTTTAACATGCAGTTTTTAATAGAACCAAGGGTAAAAGATTGGCCCAGTTTTCACCAATCTCTAAAATTAATTTAGTGAAGGTTTCCTTAAGAGTTTGATTCATCTGATCAACTTGCCCTGAAATTTGAGGCCAACAGGTACAATCAGTGTTTTCCATTAATGTTTAAGACTTTTCTCACCTGTTGGAAATTTTTTGATATAAAAGACAGACTATTATCAGAGCCTAAGGTTAAATGCAAGCTAACGCAGGGTATAATTTCATGTAAGAACTTTTCATCACAACATTGTTGCCTGCTTTGAGAAATGCCTCTACCCACCCTGAAACAATGTCAATGAGAACTAGGAGACTTTTTTTTTTTTTTAAATTTCTAGTCCTGGGGCTTGAACTCAGGGCCTGGGCACTGTCCCTGAGCTTCTTTTGCTCAAGGCTAGCACTCTATCAGTTCAGTCACAGTGCTACTTCCGGCTTTTTTAGAGATGGCCGTGTGCTTGTGGGCTATGGCAAAGGCATATCTACTGTCTGTGTAGATGGTCACAGCTTTAGCCTTTGCCCACCAAAGGGCCTTTCAGAGCAAGTAATTCTTCCTGTTGAGCAGAGGTTCCATAGGGAAAGGCTTGAACCCAAATGACTTAAAGTCACCACCATAGCTCCTGCGTGACTTACCCCCTCCTTCACAAAGCTACTGCCATGGGTGCAGAGTACTGCCTCTGGTTCCTCCAGTGGAATGTCAGTCAAATTAGGACAAATAGTCTGAGTCAAGTCCATCACATCTAAACAGTCATGTTTAGCACAGTGGGGGGCCGGGCGCAGGTGACTCATGCCTATAATCCTAGCTACTCAGGAGGCTGAGATCTGAGGATCATGGTCCAAAGCCAGCCTGGTCAGGAAACTCCATGAGACTCTTATCTCCAATAAACCTCTAGAAAACGAGAAGTGGTGCTGTGGCTCAAGTGGTAGAGCGCTTGCCTTGAGCTGAAGAGTGCAGGGACAGTGCCCAGGCCCAGAGTTCATGCCTCACAACAGACCAAAAAAAAAAAAAAAAAGGCACAGTGGGGTTGTCATCTGGCAGGAGGCTGGCTGGATTTACTGCCTGGGTTTTGTTGAACTGCATACCAGGAAGGTCTAGCAG